CTACCAATGCCATTATAGTCCTGAACTTGTGGTATATACAATCATCAACCAAATTCATCTCAAAACCAAATGAGATAATCACCTGATGAAACTTGTAATACCATTGACGAGACACCTGTTTGAGTCCATAGATAGATTTCTTTAATTTACAAATCATTTGCTTTGCATCGTTCGATACAAAGTTTTTTGGTTGTACCATATAAGTTGTTTCATCAATGTCACCATTGAGAAACGCTGTCTTAACATCCATCTGATGTAGCTCAAGATCGAAATGTGCTACCAATGCCATTATAGTCCTGAAAGAGTCTTTCGAAGAAACCGGAGAGAAAGTCTCTTTCTAATCGATGCCTTCTTTTTGTGTAAAGCCCTTTGCGACAAGACGAGCCTTATACCTCTTTACATCACCTTTCGAATCCCTCTTGGTCTTAAATATCCATTTGTAACCAATGGGTTTTGCACCTTCAGGCAATGGAACGAGGTCCCATACGTCATTGTCCTTCATGGACTTTATCTCTTCATTCATAGCTTTGAACCACTTTTGAGAGTTAGAACTTTCCATGGCTTGACGAAAGTTGATCGGATCATCTTCCACCATTCCAATGTCAACTTCATGTTCTTGAAGAAATACGATGTAATCATTCGAAACCGCACTTCTCCTCTCTCTAGTGGATCTTCTTAATGGCATTGGTTCTTGAGGCTGTAGAGTTTGTTCTTCTGGAACAATTTGTTGATCTTGAGAGAGAGGTATGACATTGTCTTGATCCAGAGTTGCTTCTTGAACAATGTCAGGGATAGAAACCTGATCATTGTCAATGGCAATTGGAGGAATTTCAACATATTCCTCCTCAAAGACAAAGCCTGTAACCCTTTTCCCCCCCCCCCCCCCACAAACTCAACATCCTCAAAGAACCTAGCATTTCCTGTCTCGAAAATTGCCTTAATTGTGGGATCATAAAACTTGTAACCCCTGGACCTTTCAGAATATCCAATGAAATAGCAACTGATGGTCCTTGCGTCTAATTTCTTTTCATTTGGCTTATAGGGTCTTGCCTCAGCTGGATACCCCCAAATATGTATATACTTCAAACTAGGCTTCTTGCCCGTCCAAAGCTCATATGGGGTTTTATCAGTGGCCTTAGTTGGAACTCTGTTGAGTATATAAGCTGCAGTCTTTAATGCTTCACCCCAGAGAGATTCTGGTAAGGTAGAATGACTAATCATACTCCTCACCATGTCCTTAAGCATTCTGTTTCATCTTTCAGCAACACCATTCATAGTGGGCGAACCCGACATAGTATACTGTGGGACGATACCGTATTCCTCTAGGAATTTAGCAAACGATCCTGGACGCTGTTCACCTGAACCGTTATATCTGCCATAGTATTCACCCCTACGGTCAGATCTGACGCTTTTAATCCTTTTGCCGAGTTGGTTCTCAACTTCAGCTTTATAGTTTTTGAACACATCCAGTGACTGTGACTTTTCATGAATGAGATATATGTAGCCATATCTTGAAAAGTCATCTATGAACGTTATAAAATATTGTTGACCATTCCAAGAACCCGTAGGAAATGGTCCACAAATATCCGTATGTATAAGTTCTAAGACGTCCGAAGTCCTATTGGCTTGAAATCTCCTTTTATTGGTTTGTTTTCCCTTTATACAGTTGACACACAAATCATAATCTGTGAAGTCAAGAGGGTCGAGAATCCCGTCAGACACAAGTCTCTCAATTTTCCTTTTGGAGATGTGACCCAAGCTCTTGTGCCACAACGAGACAGAATTCTCGTCGTTTAATTTTCGCTTTACACCTCGAGTACTTACATGCAAGATTTCATTATAAGAAGCAATTGTATCAATTGAATAAAGATTATCGTAACTTGATAAAGAACCGGAACCAACCAATTTTGAATCACGAAACAAACTAAATTTTCCATTTCCAAAAAAACAAGTATAACCAAATTTGTCCAAAACAGAAATAGAAATCAAATTCCGTTTAAAAGACGGTACAATAAATGTCTCAACAAGATCCAAATAAAATCCAGTCTTTAACAATAATCTAAATTTTCCTATTGCCTCTACTTCCATTCTATTGCCGTCGCCAGCATAGATGTATCTTTCACCATCACTTGGTTTTTGACAACTCAGGCAACCCGGCATAGACATACTGATGTGAGTTGTTGCACCAGAATCTATCCACCATGTATGTCTAGGTACCGAAGTTAAATTAACCTCAGAACAAACCAAATGAAGAATAGTACCTTTCTTTACACACCATGCGTGGTAATTGGTGCAATTCTTCTTCTTATGACTTGCAGCTCCACAGAAGAAACAACCGCCTTCAGTTGGTTCCTTATGCTGTTTCTTTTGCGGTGCCGTACCTACAGCTTCCTTATTAATCTTTCTTTTCTTGTTGCTTTTGTCCTTAGAGGTGGTGGCTAAATGAGCACTTTCTATCTTTTCATGCTTCAGTCTTTCCTCGTCTTGGACACAGTGTGAGATGAGCTCATTAAGGGACCATGAGTCCTTTTGACAGTTATAGCTCACCTTGAATTGACTGAAATGTGCCGGAAGGGATATCAGAACCAAGTGCACTAACAAGTCTTTAGATAAATCCAACTTGAGTGCCTTTAGTTTTGAAGCAATGTGAGACATTTCCATAATGTACTCCCGAATGTTTCCTTTCCCTTTATACCTCATTGAGACAAGATTTGCCAAAAGTGTACTTGTTTCAACCTTTTCATTCTTGGGAAACCTCTTCTCAAGGTCCTCAAGGAAACCCTTAGTCGTAGTCACCTTATCGGACATAGTGTCCCGAAATGCTTCTGGAATAGCACGCTTCATGACCATTAAGCTTATGCGGTTCGATCGTTCCCACTTTTCCATCTCCCTCTTGTCATCAGAGGTACTCTTATCAGTAAGTGCAGCAGGTTGATCGACCCGTAAAGCAAGGTCTAGGTCCATGACTCCGAGAACAATCATAACGTTCTCTTGCCATGCCCTGAAATTTGTGCCATTTAACATTGGAATTGAATTGATGCTAGCAGAGATATTAGCAGCAGAACCTGAAACTGAATTAGAGAACATTTATTATGAATAGCTCACATGAATATCTTTAATATGCAAATAATAATAATCTCAAATAATGGTAGGGCCCATCACAAGATACCAAGCACAACATCAATATCCAGTCTTTGGACAGAGATATTGACTTGTAAGCGGTACTCTTGGTGTAATGATCCAACATTGACGATAATACAACGTATCAATCAATAAACCTTTCTTTGGACCGATTTATTGATCACACATTAAACCAAATAATCGTCACACGTTTATCACCACAGGTGCATGTGTATTCGGCTAAATATTGACCTTCCTTTGGGCCGACCAATATTCCCATGAATAACACATGCACAAACACTTTTTAACATTCTAAGTTAGTCAATTTTCACAAGAGAAGTTGCTTTGGCAACATGTTGCTTCAATTAACTAACTTTTGAATATTATATCTCTTAAAAGAGTCTTTAATACCAAAATTTGAGAAAGAGAATCACCATTTTTGCATATTTTGATTAGTTTTAAACTTTAGGGGCCTTAGAATTAATAATTCAAAACTTTAAGGGGGCAAAATTAGTTAATTCCAAACTTTAGGGGTTGAAATTAATGAACTTGAAACTTTAGGGACCATAATTAATTAATTCAATACTTTAGAGGATCAATTAGAACAAATTTTAAAACTTTAGGGGCCAAAATTGACCAATTCAAAACTTTAGGGATCAAATTTTAAAAATTTGAAACTTTAGGGGTCAATTTGAATTATTTATGAACTTAGGGGGCCAATTTGAACTAGTAATTAAAGTTTGAGAGCTTTAATTATAAATTCAAAACTTTAATGGCCCGAATTAATTAATTTTAAAACCTTAGGGACTGAATTATTAAATCCGAAACTTAAAGGCCCAAAACTTAATATAACTTAAAGGTTAGGGACTGAAACCTTAATTTTGTAACCCTAGCCCTAATTGCAACTAAGGACCTCAATTCATCTAATTTAAAGAAGAGGCCCCCGTCCCCAAAAAAATCTAGAAAACCGAAAAAAACCTAAATTTATTTTTTTCTTTCTTTCTTCTTCTTCTGGCTGCGGCGCACTCCGACACCCCCCAAAGTAAGTGCGCCCGGCACTACTGCTTGGCAGCTGCGGCGCTGCCCACGCAGCAACGCTGCGCAGAGCTCGTCGGCAGCGGCGCCACTGCTGCTGCCGGAATATTTTAAATTTTTTTTTTTTTTTTGTAAATTTGAAACCAAAATCCGAATTCCAAATATGAATTTTCTCAACCATTAATCCGAATTTCGAAAATAACAAAAATTATACCGCAAAAATTTTCAAATTTAACAAAATATATAACCAAAAATTGTTAAATCTGAAAATTTCAAAATAGATTGCAAGAATCAAACTAAAATTTTTGATTCTCAATGATTCAACATGAAGAGGCTCTAATACTACTTGTTGTATAATTTAGTGCTCTAAATTACCGGATATTTCATGTTAAATCATCAAAAAATATAAGAATTAAAGCGGAAGTATACCTGAATCAGATATGGTTAATGCAATATGAATTTCGCGGTATGATCTTCCAAATCTACACGCAATCTCCTTTTCCTCTCTGTGATGGGATGCAGTAGAGAATGAATAATACGTTGCGTGTGATTTGGGGACCATAACCTATTTATATAGGGATGCCCTTTGACCTAATTCGGCCCATCATAGAATTAGAATTTGGGCCCGGTCTCTACACATATGTAAACTCATACTTTAATTTGATATATTAAAATCCAAAACCGAAACTTTATTAAATCACTTTAATTGGGCTCAACATTAAAACCAAAAATCGAAGCCTTATTAGATCACTTTAATTGGGTTCAACCGAATTCGATAGCCTATAATTTAACACACAATTATTCACACATACAAGCCCATCTTTAATTAAAAATCCTTACATTTCATTCCTGTACTTCTCACTGATCCAGTTTTGTATACTCAGGAAGAGGAACTGCTAGCACTTCTTCGAGATGAAGAAGATGGAGAGGATAAGTGGATACAAACGAGCATCAGCGATGAAAATCTAGAGAAAATTTTGGATCGCAGCGATCTGATTATGAATTCTTCCGAGGACGAAAACCCTGAGACAAAGCCAACCCCTATTCCTCTTAAAGGACCTAGTTGGGAAGTTGTTATCCCAACCACAACTGGTGGAATGCTGTCGACCCTCAACAACTGATGCCTGTTTCCATTTTACAGTTGAATGTGATTTTTGTTGATGCCATGTTGCTGTAAGTTTTAGAAGTTTCCTCTCAATTTTTGTTAATATTCAGAGAGGAACACGTTTTGGAGAATGGATAGACAGGCTATAATGTAGACTGCAATATTGGAACCAAGTGTGACAGAGATAGGCATCATACCATAACTTTGAATGATTGAATTGTTTGGTTGACGTGAATTATCCTGATAATTAATGAAATAATTTAAACTTATTTGTAGGGTGGCAATGGTTCGAGCTTCTAGTTGGCTCGGGCTTACATTTAAATGAGCTGAACTTGGTTTTTTGCTTGGCGAGTTGAATTGATACCAACCTTGGGGCTCTTGGACTTGGGCCTACTCTAAGGGTGGGACTCTGGGCTTGCTCTAGGTGTCCTAGTGTTTAATATTGAGAAAATTAGGCACATAACTTTGCCCATATTTGACATAGCTTGTTTGAGTTTTACAAGTTAACTTTCGTGTTGGATCATGCATTTTATTTGATTTACAATTTTTATTTATTTTTAATAAGTATAACAAGTTATAGACCTTGTCTGGAGCCAATTTTTGGGGCAAAAAAATTGATTTTCTAATCATTGGCTATCGAAACTTTTGATTGCTCCTCTTAGGGGTGGGGCCCACAATCAAAGATAACGGCTCCATTTTCAGTTAAAATTTGTTGAAGTAGCACCAGATAAGGGTATAATCTCAAAAGGATTTGTGAAATGGGGATTATTTTAGTGCTTATAAGATCATGTTAATCAGAAGTACATACTTATTTTTTTATAACAAGGATTTTAGTTAACTTTATATTGAATATTAAGATATTAATTAAAATATTCAAACTAAGAATCCTCAATTGAAAACCAGCACAATTCCTCCAAGTCAATTATTTCATAGCTAAAAACTTGTGAATTTGCATTTTTATATGACTGCACACTGTATTCCCAAATGAGCTTATAATTAAGTATTCAAATGTCACACCCTCCTTGAAAGTGACATTAACTTACGCCTCAATTTGACATCTTCATGATTTAATTAATGGTAACATTTAACTAATTTATACGCTCTCTTTATTTTGAAAGTGATTTGTAAATCAAGTCAAACAAAATGATACAAACCCTTCTTATTGTACAATTCCTATCGAACGCTCACATGGGGTGGGTCCCATATAAGTTTAAAAAAAAATTGAAAAAAATAAAAATAGAAATCTATTCTATCCACCCTCATGTGAGAATTCTGTACATGTTTTGTAAATAATAAATTTGTACATAGAGATTTATTGAAATGATACACAACTATGCTTAACTAAATCGATCAAAAAACTTTAAAAGTTCAATTTGTAAATTATCACTATTATTCAACTGAATTTTTTTCCAGCATCATCAAACACATTCTCACATAAAGTCCATTAATATATGAAAAGAAATAATAAACTGAAAATGAGAATAAATAATAATTATTTTCAAAAAAGAAATTAAAAATAAATTTAGGAGTTAAAATAGAGGACATTATTGGAGAGCATTAAAAATTTTACTCTCTAAATTTATCGATCATCTCTATTATTTATAAGGTGATCTTAACATATAGAAATCTATTGAAGATGATCTTACTGATTATGTCGGAAAAAAATAATTGAAAATTGGCTCAATTATACCTAAAAATATAAAAATAAAAATTATTTAAATTATAATTGAATCCAAATTTTATTTCTTCACCTTTTACTTTTCTAGATAGATGATAATTTTCAAAACATTAGTTTAAATCGAAGAGTGTCTAGATGCAATGTATGATAATATCCTCGTGGGGTTGGTGATTTGAGAGTGCAGCTCCCTATATTGGCATATTCAAGAAAAATCCAATCTATTTATGGAGTCGTAGAATATTAGCTACATCCTGGCCTGCACCCAACAAATTCCAAACTACTTTACTACCTTACAATTCACCATTGTTTTCGGCCTTGTACTTTTCTCTCTCTGTCAAGTCAACCCATCTTCACCAATTTTTCACTTTTCTGTCAAAAACCCATAAATTAAATGGCTATATTGAACGCAAAATCTTCACAAAATTCAACGATTTCTAATCCCAATTCGTATTGCGCGGTGGT